GCATCTCGCCTCCGCTTCAGGGTGACGTCCGCACCCAACGTCGCTTGAATGACGCGCTCAGCTTCGACCAGGTGCTAGCGGCGGTTCAACCTCTCTCCGACACGCTGCCGGACCTTCCTCACGCTGTCGGTGAACTCACCGCTCAACTGAAGATCTCCCGGGAGGAAGCTGCCGCTACCAAGCGTTTGCTAGTTCCCGTCCAGCTCCGAGTTGAGTCTCTGGAGACTCTTCTCAACAAATCGACGGCTGAGGTGAACGGGCTTCAAGCGAAGATCAAGTGCCTCAAGCCAGCGAACGTTCGCATTGGCTCTCCGCTCGAAAAGAGTAAGGAGTCAATGGACGTTCAGACAGAGAACCTTCGGCTCGCCATGAACTACGCCGAGCAGAAGCAAGACATCATCGACGCCTTGGACAAGCAGATTGAGAAGGAACGCGAGGTCTTCAAGACGACGGTCAGCGCGAACACTGAGAACACTCGCAAGCTTCATGACCTTCTGCTCAAGGCTACGCGGGGTACCTGGGTCGATGCTGACACTGCTGCGTTGATTGCCGATCTAAAAGACCGCAATTTGCACTTACTCCGTACCAACCGCGCTCTCCGAGGGTTCGTTAGCTTCGCCGGCATGGATCCCAACCTCTTGCTCTCGCCATCCAAGGTCAGCTGATGTTCTTGATACCTCCTCCTGTCACTCGTTCACTAACTCGTGTTCATTCGTTCCCATTGTAGGTCTTCGGGCTGCCGAGGTCGACCTCTCAACACTCGGCCTTGACCAGGATACGTTCCTCGCTCTTCAGCGATTCCAACAAGAGGCAGGCGACCAAGAAGATCCGTTCGCCCTTGCTGAAGCCCTGGCCAAGATTGCTCAACAGCTCAGAGTAGTGCTCCCAAGCGAAGTCGTCATGGAAGTGACGATGGCAGCTCCGATGATTCATCTGAGGAGAAGACCCCAGTTCCATCTGGTCGAGGTAGCAGAGCAGGTTCGGCAGCTGCTACTGGCGAAGGATCGGTTGCGGCTGCTTCAAGTCCAACTCCCAGTCGTCGAGGTCTCCACAAGCCAAAAGCTTGGAAGAACAAGCCGAATTCCAAGCGTCAGAAGACTGCCTCGCGCTCGCAGGCTTCAGCTCGTTCCCATTCCAGCCAGATTTCTCGCCGCTCGACACCTCGGCCACCTGCACGTTCGCCTTCAGTAGCCCATGCGAAATCGTCCGTAAGTCGCCCGAGGTCTCGTTCGCATTCTGTGTCGAGTCATCCGGCTACATCGAAGTCTCCAGCCTCTTCAACGTCCGTTCCTGCTACTCCTTCCAAGGCTGAACCGTCAAAGGACGACCAACCTCCGGCGGTCGTGGACTTAACGCAAGATGGGAGTGACGAGGACATGGATGAGGGACCAACTGCAGTTCCGACAGTACCCGAGGACACGGAGGTGACTCGCCAAGCTTCACCGACTCCTCCGACATCTCTCCAACGCAGCAACGTGGTTTCTCCACCGTCGCGTGCTTCTTCGCCACCGGCTGTTGCCTCCCCACGGGATCCTACCTCTTACGAACTCGAGATGCAGCTATTATTTGGATCTGACGACGATGAGGATGCTCCAAGCGGTTCAAAGGCATCCCGCGAACCTGCGGGGCTGACGTCTCCTTATCGCTCTTCCTCTGATGAAGATACTCCGTCACCTCCCCAGCGTTCTGACCGCGCACCGATTTCCAAGCAACCATCAGTTCCGCCCCCTCGATATCCCGATTCTTCCGATAGCGATGAGGGTGGCTCCAGCAATGGTTCTCACGACCGTGATGGAGCTGGTGGAGATGATTCTCATAACGACGATCCTTCGTTCAATTTTCCTTCTGGTGATACTGCTGGTGATGAAGATATTCCGCCGTCGACCGAAGTTTCTCGAGCATCCGCTGTTGTCGAGGGTTCTGTTACCAGTGTTCCGACGACTTCTTCCCCAGGAGCTCCCCGAAGCTCCGAATCGTCTCCTCTGGTTGCCGATTCCGCATCTCGTGAAACCTCGTCCGGGGCGCCTCAAGTTTCGTCTCCAATGTCAAGAGTTCTCACGAGTCCAACGACTACTCGTCATCACCCTCCGCCTCCGGGGTCTGCACTGAGCCAGACTTCACTTCTTCCCCAGGGGGCTGGTCCCGGGCGAGTAATCGTTGCTACGTACACTTCTCGCCGTCGGCGTGGTGATCCAGACCCTCC